CCATGGCTGCTGAGCCTGCACATCCGGAGCCTGTGCTCCACAACGGGAGAGGCCACGACAGTGAGAGGCCCCCAAAACGCAAAAAAAAAAAAAAAAAAAAAAAAAAAAAATCAAGGGAAATTACAGGACAATTTAACTCATAAACATAGAAAAAAGCTAAACAAAATATGAGCAAGTGAAATCTAGCAGTGTATTAAAAGGAGGGTCAAATTATGTTTATTCCAGGAATGTAGGGTTGTTTAAAAAACAGTTAATGTAATTCACTATATTAACAGAATAAAGAAACTCAGGCTATCATCTCCATGCAGAAAGTCTTTGATAAAATTTGACATTATTCATGATAAAAAGAAAGCACTAGCAAACTAGGAATAAAAGGGAACCTCTTTTATCTGATAAACAGTTTCTACAAAAAACCAACATCAAAAGACATGCTAAAATGAATGCTGAAAGTGTTCTCTTTGGTATTAGTAATAATGCAAGAATGTCTATCAAACCATTGCATTCAATATTGCACTGGAGGCTCTAGCCGGCATGATAAAACCAAAAGAAAAAAAAATGAGTATATTTAAAAGCATAACGAATGGGAGGGAAGGCAAAAGGCAATCATTATTTGCAGGTGATATAATGATTTACAGAAAATCCAAAAGAATGTGAGTACAAATTGCTAGAATTATGAACAAGTTATACAAGAAGACTCTACACAGTGGATTAAAATACAAAAGCAATGTGCGTGTCCAGCAACAAACTGTTAAGAAACATAATTCAATTAACTGTACACATTTGCCAAAAATCACTGAATTGTACAGTTAAAGTGAGAGCATTTTATTGCATGTAAATTATATCTCAAAATAACTGCAGAGAAAAAAGGCACCATTTGCAACAGCAGCAACAAATGCGAAGTACACAAGAATTAATTTAACATGTACAAGACCTTCCTGAGGAAAAATTATAAAGCTTTACTAAATGGCACAAAAGGATATTTAAATAAATGGAAAGACATAACGCATTCATGGAATGGAAGACTTAATATTATAAAGATGTCTGTTCTTCCCAATTTGATCTTTAGATTCAATAAATCTCCGATCAAAACTCCAACAAAATTTTATGAGGGACTCAATAAGTTGATTCTCAAATTTATATGAAAGAGCAAAGGGCAAAGAATAGACAAGACACTCCTAAAAAAGATGACTTAATCCCTTACAGTAATTAAGATAGCATGATATTGGCATAGTGATAGACATTTTGACCAAAGGAGCAGAATAAAGAGCCCAGAAACCAGACCGTGCGTATTTGCAAACTTCATTTATGACAATGGTGGCATTGTAGTTAAGTGGGGAAATGATGGATTATCCAAAAAATGGCATTGAGACAAGTTATTATTCAAATGCAGAGAGAGAGAGAAAATTGGATATTCCACATCACACCACACACAAAAATTTGTTCCAGATGAATTAAAGACATATGTAAAAAGGACATTTTCAAAGCTTAAAAAGAGAGAGAAATATCACTACAATGTTGGAGCAGGCAAGGGTTTTTTGTTTTTTTTTTTAATTCAAATGAAAAACACTAACCAAAAAGGGAAGAGGTTAACAAATTTAACCAAAAAATGGATCACACACAAATAAGTAAAATCTACTATGGAACACAGTGGGAGAAAAGCCTATTTTTTTCCCCAGGAAGAAGAAATCAATGGGAAACTGAAGGAAAAACAACCACAAAAACAGTACAAGAAAGTCAGTCCAGTTATAAAGTCAACAGGCACACTTTTGAGCAATCTGTGGTATATAAGAAAGAAGATCCCACTGAACTCTGATGAGAACAACTGCACAGGGATTGTGACACTGGAACTAAACAAAGGGTACACAGAATGACAGCATACTTCTTGACTTTGTAATGAATGGAAGTAACTCAAAATGCTGTTACTTGGTTTTCGTCTTTTAGATTGAGCCCTTAATAAACCTCAGAAGACTTAGTTACGATCATAGGAGAGAACAGAAATATTATCAGCTTTGATAATATAAAAGTAATGGCACAGATGACAGAAGTTAGGAGGCAAAGGGAGAAGGGAGAAGCAGACAGAAGGTTAAAACTTCCTTCATTTACACAGTAGAAGTCAAAAGAAGTTACAAGAAATAGAAGTTTAAAAATTACATTCAAGAGTACAAAGGTAACTAATTTTTAAAATGGTGATATAATTATGAAAAGATGAGATGGGTTGATATGTAGAGTTATAAATGAGGTTGGTCCCTTACACCACAGAAGGAATTCAATAACGTCCAAAACTGATAAGCCAAGAAATGGTGCTCTGAATATATTATTTAGCGATATGGAGGTATCCATTAGGAGATCTAAAAACCCAAACAAAGCACAATGAAACTGGGGAGGATGTGCTGCGTTTTGTTATATGTATTGTTGTATTTTTTCTGTATTATTGAATTTTTAATCTATATGTGTGTATTATTTTAATAAATATAATAGTTTTGAAAATTATTGAACGAAAGAGAAAGAAAAGATCAAGAACTCTAAGAGCTCATTTAATCAAACTACGTAATTTGAGCTAGGTAAAAGAAAATGGATGTCTACTGCAACAGAAAAACTTCTAAATACCTGAGTGAGACTAATAATCAAAAACCTACCAACTTTATCTAGCAGAGTACACTTAATATCATTATTTAATTCAGAGGGAAGAAATCAGTTTAAAAGCTGAATCTTATCCTTCATTGTTTCTCCTCCTCCTTACTTTTCCTCTTCATTTCTCTAGCTTTTTTGTTTCCCTCCAGCTTTCTTTTCCTTAGCAAGAATATTTAACTGAAAATAAAAATAAAACACTAGTTTTATTTATAGAGTTCAGTCTTGTGGTTCCTAATTTTCTCTCAATACGAAAAGAGCAAATTAGGTTGATTTTCATTTCCATGTGGTCTAAACTAACTTTTAAAATCTCTATGGTCATTAACTGTTGTAAAGAAGAAAAGATCTCTACGGCTGATTTAAGGGAAGAACACAAATAACAGAAGATGACCTTGTTAAACCCAGCACACTAATTACTCTTAACGTATTAATTTTCTGAAGGGGACCGCTACATAACTTAGGCTTCAGGGCTCAGGAGCTAGGTTTCCATGCAGATATTTATGGTGATTTAAAGAGCTGAAAGCTTTAAGTCTTAAGATCCCCCAAAGTAAAGTAAAAACCAGAAGGTAAAATGTTCATGTTAGGTGATATTTGGTTTTGACCCAAAAGAATTCAGCAAGGTTTCCATTTCAGTATAATCCACATCTATCATATACTTACACTATATTTGCAAGGTCAAGTGGTTTCTCTGGTTGTTCAGGAAAAACAGGATGCGGAGGTTCTCTGGTGGGTACACACCCCAAGGATTTACTAATTGCATGGCTCAGCTTCTTTGCAGGGGATTTCTGTGTCAAAGTAGAAAATATGGAAATAAGGAATTGAATTTTCAAAAGAATGAAACAGAATTTTAACTTAGTGACAAGAGCTGTAGAAAATATCTTTGCAAATACAAACTAAGTTGCATTACGGTCACCACTACTGAGCCTTGCAGAAAGGAACCTACGGTTGTTTCAAGGGGTTGTTTCAAGGTCGTTTGTGGCCCTTCGTTTCTGTCCTAACTCCCTCATTTCTACTATGCAGTCACACTATCCAGTTAGTGTTAACTTTCCTTTTGAGCATCTCTGTGTGCCCTTTGCAGGAACTCCCTCTTTTGATGCTTCTGGATCATTCTGGTAAGATGTTATAGTTAATTCCCTGATCAGAGTCAGAAATTCTTGCTAGACTAAAATACTAAAAGGTTAAGATAATGCTGAGAGCTCACGGCTCTTGAATGTTAGCAAATTAGCTGACTAACCCACACCCCCCCAAATATTAAGAGAATATTCCCCAAATGAACATGAAACAGAACATTTGGTGTTAAGGGTCTGTCTATGTATACAGATACAAATGAGTACACTCACATACACAGGCAGCATCAGATCTGTGACTCTAAATTATGATATGATGAAGGTACAAAAATAAGTTGGCATACTAATACATTTCCTGGGAAGGTAGAACAATACACACTAAATCCAAAGACTAGCAGGCCTAAGGTATAATAGTAAATATGCACAAAAGTAAACAATATGCCACGACTAAGATATGTAGAATATGAAACCCATATTTAAAGGACACTTTTTAAAAAATTAATTGTTTATTTATTTATTTATATTTTGGCTGTGCTGGATCTCCATTGCTGCACGGGCTTTCTCTAGCTGCGATGAGTGGGGCTACTCTTTGTTGCAGTGTGCAGGCTTCTCACTGTGGTGGCTTCTCTTGTTGCAGAGCACGGGCTCTAGGCATGCGGGCTTCAGCAGTTGTGGCACACGGCCTCAGTAGCTGTGGCTCACGGGATCTAGAGCACAGGCTCAGTAGTTGTGGTGCACAGGCTTAGTTGCTCTGCAGCACATGGTAGGATCTTCCTGGACCAGGGCTCGAACCCATGTCCCCTGCAATGGCAGGAGGATTCTTAACCACTGTGCCACCAGAGAAGGCCCCCAATTCCCTTTAAATAATACTGTTATCTGAGATTTTCTTGGCAGGATACTCGTCGCAAAAAAGTTTAAATATTTCATTCTTCTGCCTCTGCAGTGTATTACCGTGTGTACTACTCTAATTAGAAAACAGACCTTGTTTGCAGCTGTGTGTCTCAACAGTAGCACATCTCCACTTAACTTTTATATGCTGCCTACATATATTTTAACAGAAAATAAGCCAAAATATATTTACCTTTAAGACTATATAGGGAAAGTTACTTAATACCTTGTTTATAACAGACTGAATAATACCATTCTCTTCAGAAACTTCATATATTGGCTCCACATCACCTACCACCATCCCCTTCAACACATTAAATTCTGGGGGAAATCTATATGTAATCTAATTTCCTGAAAATTATATATGAAGCTACACAAAGCAGAAATTCTGAACTTCCCCACAACTGCTCTCCATCATCCCTTTGCCCAATGACTAGCTGTAACATGACTCTGATTCTTCCCCCTCTGCTCCATCTTCTACACTGCCCCAGACATCATGCAGTCTTCTGCTTAAAATCTTCCAAAGGCTGATGATCATTTATAGACTAAGATCTAAATCCACGCCATCACAGCTCACTTAGGAGCTTTCATATCCAGCTCCCCCCTCTGTCCTCACCTCTCACCCCACGTCAGCATAAACATCAAGCTGCTCAGTTAACCCAATGTACCATGTTCTCTTAGATCTCTGTACCTTGGCACGTGCCTTTCTGAGATCTCCCTTTCCCAATCTACTTCTCTTTAAATTTTCTGCTCATCTCTCAAGGCTGCTTATTTGCAAGCCTCCCTTCCCCTCTGAAGACTTTCCTCACTGCTCCGTAAGTCGGCACCCATCTTTCCAAGCTACCCACTTGCCAAGTACACATTTCCACTGTTGCACTGTTCCAATACTACACTGCACTTTCAAATTTACATGCCTATCTCTGTTAGACCAGTGGTCTTGAAGGGTAGGATCTACATTTTATTCATCTGTGTATTTCCAGAACCTGACCTACACCAGAATATGTTATTTGAATAAATTATTTGCCTAGATGAATTTTCTAGATTGCTTTTTCCTGACTAAACCATATAAGCTTAACTTTTTTGAGAGTTAGGCTATGAGTAGGAGACCGTCAGAGGACACCAGAGAATATCTTAATTCACCTTTACAACTAAACACTACGTGTGTAATCCATGTACTCATTTTGTGATTTTTTGCTACATCTGAGAACCACCTGGGCCATTAATTCATGCAGTCTATGTGAGATGGATTATAATAGCCATGAAATCACAGGTTTCATGTGTATATTTCACCATAAACATTAAAATAAGACTGTTAAAATAAAAAATGTTTCCCTTTGTATCACCTAATATCCTCTAGCAGCATGCTTGTTGTGCTTTCAAAAATACTGCTCCAAGTCAAGGTTTAAGATTAGATCCTATTTCAAGTCTCAAAAAGAAAGAGAGAAAGGTAAAATCAATACATCAAAGCCAATTCCACGTAGAGTACATCAAGAGATGCTTGATATGTATGAGAAGGAGAAAAAGACTGGAAATAAACATATATAGGAATTAACTAAGGGCTAGGATCAAACCAAAGAGAACATTATCCTGAAAATTTAAAGATAATGCATTCAATTAGGTTGTCTAAATAGGTAGATAAATGCTTTCCTTAAAAAGACCTCAACGCACGAATTACAATATGGGCCATTGTGGAGCTACGTTAGGAAACTAAGATTAACTTAAGTGTGTGAGCAGGAGTTCGAAAACCACTATAAGTGCCAAGACAGGGACATTACCTCTTCTGGCTACTCGGCCCCCAGGACAATGCCCAGGACTTGGTAGTCAGTCACTAAGTATTTACAGAAGTGCAGGGAGTGAGGGAGGAAGAAAAGCAATCCAGGTGTAGGGACTGGTGACTCCACACTTCATTTAAGCCACTAGGCCAGAGATGTTCTGACAGGTCTTTGTACCTTTCCCCTCACTTGAACCCTCACACTGATACATGGGGACGCCTTAACCTAGAAAATCAGATCTCCTTCAAACCCTCTTAGGCAATGATTTTCAATCTTTGTGCATTTTCAATACCTTCATCCACTTTACCTAATTTCAAAACATTTCCTACCATCTCTTAAAAATATTACAGGTTACATAATTCAAAAAGAGACATGTACCACAATGTTCATTGCAGCACTATTTACAATAGCCAGGACATGGAAGCAACCTAAGTGTCCATCGACAGATGAATGGATAAAGAAGATGTGGCACAGATATACAATGGAATATTACTCAGCCATAAAAAGAAACAAAATTGAGTTATTTGTAGTGAGGTGGATGGACCTAGTCTGTCATACAGAGTGAAGTGAGTCAGAAAGAGAAAAACAAATACCATATGCTAACACATATATATGGAATCAAAAAAAAAAAGGTTCTGCCTAGGGGCAGGACAGAAATAAAGATGCAGACGTAGAAAATAGACTTGAGGACAAGGGGAGGGGGAAGGGGAAGCTGGGGCGAAGTAAGAGTAGCATGGACTTATATACACTATCAAACGTAAAATAGATAGCTAGTGGGAAGCAGCCGCATAGCACAGGGAAATCAGCCCGGTGCTTTGTGACCACCTAGAGGGGTGGGATTGGGAGGGTGGGAGGGAGACGCAAGAGGGAGGGGATATATGTATACATAGAGCTGACTCATTCTGTTATACAGCAGAAACTAACGACATTGTAAAGCAACTCTACTCCAATAAAGATGTTAAAAATAAATAAATAAATAAAGTAAGGTCACCTTGGAAAAAAAATTACAGGTTACATTAAAAAAGAATACTTCAAAAGTATATAAAATGTGGGTGTACAGTCTAAAAAGTGATAAAACAAATACCCATCTACCCACTATTCTGCCTGAGAAATATACCATTATGGTCACTTGGAAGCCTGGCTGTGAGCCCTTATCTAATACAGCCCACTCCCACCATACCCGCACATCTCCTGGTTATCAGTATCCTGGATTTTGTACTAATCATTTCCTTGATTTTACTATTTTAGCAATTATGTACTATAAAAAATACATGATTTATTTAATACATGCTTAAAACCTATATAGATTTACATACATATTTTTTTCTGCAACTGGCTTCTTTTACTCAAAATTATGTTACAATTCATCCATGTTGATGCATATGTTGATAAAATTCACTCATTTTTTCATGGCTTGATTGTATTTCATTGCTCAATTACATCATAATTTATATATTTGGGTCGTTTCCCTTTGTTCCCTCTCAGTCACAATGCTGCTATAAAACTTTCTTGTCCGTGTCTCCTGCTGGCCATGTAAAAGAATTTCCTAAGACTGGAATTATTGGGTCATAAATTATGACATTCAGTGTTACTAGGCACTGCCAATTTGCTTTTACAAAGTGGTTATGCTAATTTCCACTCCCATCAGCTATGTGAGGGACTTCCTGACTCTACATTCTGGCCAACCCTTGTTACAGTCAGACGTTCTAACATTTGCCAATCTGGTGGGTGACAAATGTTATTGGGCTTTTAATTTGCAATTCCCTTATTACTAGAAATATTGAGCATCTTTTCCAATGTTTATGGGCCATTTGTATTTCTTTGTCTGTGAAATGCCTGTTCCTGTCTTTGGCGTAGTGTTTCACTGGGTTTGTCTTTATCTTACTGATTTGTAAGAGTTCTATATATTTTTGTATTTTAACCGTACAGAAGTTATATCTTACAAACAACTTTCATTTTAAGGTTTTTCACTCTATTGTTTTTAATGAATGATCATCTTTAAATACACAGTAGTCCCAATTTATTAATCTTTTCTTTCTTATTTTGTGCCTTTTGTAT